ACGGAGCAGTGCTGTTGCTTGTCCCATAGGGTGATCAAGAAACTTTGATTCACTCTTTGTAACGTCTTTGGACTAACAATACATTTTTATTGGCTTTTTAAGAGGCGATGTCCATTTCTTAACGAACAGGGATGATACTGAATAATGACTGGAAGTAATATGGAAACAAGCGGCCATGACCTTATCCGAGCTACTATTCCAGTACTTTCATGTAAAAAATTTGATTCAGTAAAACCATAAAAACTTCGGATATATTTGTCTTCTGGGTTGTAGCGCCTCGTAGTCTGGTGGAAGTTTACCGACGTTTCAGAGGCCCTTGCTGCATCCATCATCAGAGCGAGAGCACAATAGTCAGTCTCTGGGCCGAAATATGAAGTCGGAGCCTCCAGAATATAAAACAGGAGAGCTGACCACTCGGCCACGACAGTCAGTGCGTCCATATAGTGTAGCCTACGGTTTATTTTGCTGTTCAATGTAGGCAAAAGCTTACCTAATACTCGAAAGATTCTTAGTTCCACAGTTTTTTATGAATAGTTGGATCAGAGGATCCAACATATTTCAGCTCATGAAATCTGTCATAATAATAATTCAATTTTTTATAATAATAATAATAATCCAATCATAAAGTAAGGTAAGTGGAAAACAGGATGACTGTAGCCTAAATCAAATAAGCGAATAAGCAGGGCTTTTACCAAAATATTTTCAATTGCGTTGCTCACCCGGTAATTTACATGAAACTGCTACGTATTAAACCATATAACGGAGATTGTAATGTAGAGAAACGTTTGTTGAAAGTGTGTGGAACAATTATTACACCTCGCAGTATGCAGAACTATGCGAATTCGCTTCAAAGCAACTGAAGATGTTTCCACCCAGTACCCCCCAGCGCACCGTTTCCTAGTTTCTCGCTCCCCTCCTTTCGTAGCGTCACCAGCACTGATCCTCGTTTCCCTATCCCTTAATTGTACCCTTTTTAGCCGAAGCCTCTTCACATAATTAACTTGTTTTATGCTTCTAACAAAAGACTTATATAAAAGAGCGGGCTGGCAGCATACTCCGTCTAGTACACAGAGCCACCGCCACTACCACGAATTCACGCAGACTACATTAAGGGAATCAAGTTTAAAATATGGTCTGTGCGTATACAAAACAGGCAGAAGACAGCGAGTACAGGGGTGGCCAGTCACGTGACTTTTTTATGCAAAGCTCCAAACGTGTTAATCTCATATTCCGCCAAACTGAAGTTGTTAAAGTAATCAACTGATAAAAAAGTAAAGCTGTCCCACTATACGCCATGTAGGCGCTTGGGGGGAGTGGAGGCATAGCTCCTACTCATTCTTGACCTCGGTACTAGACGGGGGTGAGTGGTCAGCATCACTCACC